GATTTCCTCCGAAAAGCGGGGTGGGTTCAGGGGACGAATTGTAGCTTGAAAGAAAAGGAGGTCGAGTCCCTATATCTTGCTGTTCTGTGATATGTACAGGCGTTGGTCTGCAATTTGTGTGGTAGGGCAGGGCATAAGCAGGGGCCTGGCAGCTGTTGGGGATCACGGGAAATAGAGAAAATGGGCGAGATGTTCATGAAATTTTGAAACTGTCCCTGTGTCATCATTTGAATTCAGTATTAAGTAAGTGTTCTATGTCTAAAACTAAAAATATGGATTTCGATTGATCTTGAATTTTCAAGACCGAGTTTCAGAATTTCTCGCACCTGCATATAGTGCATTGCAGCCTTTGCATTAGAAACGAATTACAAACGTTTTGCTGTCATAGACTTTAAAAAAAAAATTATTTAACACAGGTTAACATTTATTATTTTCATTTTTAAGTCAATATAAAATTTTTAAAATATCCGTAAAATAATTCTTTCCAATGTAAAATGATTTTATCATTCATGAGATTTATAAAGAAGTATTGAGGGAAAGAAACAAGCCTTAAACACTAAAGAATTGTGTATTTTTTATTGTATAGAGAGTTTTTCGAAGCCGAAAATGGGCATCGCTTCTCGGCCTTTTGGCTAAGATCAAAGTGTAGTATCTTGCCACTGGGTCGCGGAATTTTTTCATTATGGATGACACAACCCTTAATCTAATGGAAAGAACAATCAAGGTTTCTTTACAGGGCACTAGGCAGGCAGTTTCCAGTTTCGGCAGAAAAGAGTTGCTCCGCTTCGTCCGTGCCATAGACGATAAAGTTAAAGTTTTGGCTGTGTGGCAAATGGAGCGTGCCAATACCTGGTATGTAACTTTTGCTCATACAAACATTGTCGACAGTTTAGATGGAGAAGTGGTGCAGGTGGACGGACTGACGCTATACCTCAATGCGTGTGACCGCATCACTGTTACAGTAAGGATCCACTGGTTACCCATATGGCTGTTAAATGACGAAGTAACCAAGGCTTTAGGCTCGTATGGTGAAGTCAAGATCAAAAAACACGTGAGTGAGAACGGGGTGGCCACGGGTGTGAGGGAGGTTGTCCTCTCCATGAGGGAGGGCGACCAACTCACATCCCGTATCTAACACAGATCTACGGCAATAAGTGTTTGTTTTCGGTGCCCGGCAGGGCACCGATTTGCTTCAAATGCCACGAAGTGGGCCACGTTAGACAGGATTGTCATATGGCAACTGGTCCCTCTTACAAACCCCGTAGTTACGCTACGGCAGTAAGAACGTTGACTGTTGGCAAGTCAAAGCAAGGGACAGAGGAGACTGTCGGTAAGTCTCAGGAGGAGCCCCGGAGCTCCCCCACAGACCAGGCTGAGGACCGCGGTGGTCCCCAGGGAGAGTCGGTCCAGACTGACTCTCCCCCGGTTAACCAGGAGGACCACGGTGGTCCTGAGGAGGAGGAGTCCACGGGTGACTCCTCCCCAGTAGACAAGGTACCCGAGGGGGGCACTGAGGTGACCCTCGGGCAGGGGGACACTGAGGTGTCCTCTGGCAGATATGGGGGACACTGAGGTGCCCCCCGGCACAGGGGACACTGAGGTGACCCCTGCCTCGGGGGACACTGAGGTGACCCCCGAGGATATGGACCTAGGTGGATGGTCCGAGGTGAAGAGGGGGTCCAAGCGGGCACCCCCCTCCGACCCTGACAGTGAGCCCACTAGGGCACAAAGGAAACTTTAAACTGTGATTTTTGAACTCTGACTGTTTTAGGACTACGGCAAAGTGATTTCCCCCCGAGACGACCATGGCCTGCCCCCGGACTTTCTATAAACTATCAAGGAGATTTTCTCCCGGTAACGTGAGTTTAAATGTGTTTTTGTGTGTTTTTTGTTTAAAATTTCATTTAAAGTTTTTATGTTCTGTTTGCATGTTAATATTAGTGTATTGTGATGTTTTTTCTGTTTTATGTTTAAGTTATATTTGTCGCTGTTCTAGTTTTAAAATTTATCAATTCAGGGTTTCCTTCAATCGCGCACGGTTTTTTCATGTATCATATCAAGGTAAATTCTACTCTAAAAACCTGTTTCTTACACCTGTTAACACCTGTTCAGTACCCACTCTATTATATAACGATGGCTATTAGAATCGGCACGCTTAATATCAATGGGCTTTTAAATGCTCCGTCCAAGTCGGAACTTTTTATGCAATGTCTTAAAGAAAAATTTTCTATTATATTCCTTCAAGAAACACATTTCAGTAATATAAATAATGTTTTATCTATAAAGTCTTTATTCGATACAGACAAATGTTATTTTAGTTTCGGTTCAAATAGAAGTAGAGGAGTCGGTATTATAATTTTAAATCCAGACATTACAGTTAACAAATTTCATTTAGATATGGATGGTAGGTTAGTTTATTTAGATATAACTCATAATGATATACAATATAGAATTGTCAATATATACGCTCCAAATAATGAAAATGATAGATTAAGTTTTTTTGAGGATTTATACCCTCTACTTCTATGTAACAAACATTTAATTATAGGCGGCGATTTTAATTGTGTACTTAATACGAAATTAGACAAAATTGGAGGAAATCCTATTTATGGTACTATAGGAAGTGAAGTATTAAAAAATATTATTACTGACTTTCAACTTGTAGATTGTTTTAGATACTTGTATCCAAATCTAATTAAGACTACATGGGCCTCTACTAATGTTGCTTGTAGATTAGATAGATTTTATATGTCTAAAGTTTTGTCTAAAAATATTACATGTGTTAAAAATATTCCTTTTGGTCATAGTGACCATGACATTGTACTATTAGAAATTAATGTGTCTAATTCAGATAATATTACTTTTGGGGAGGGATATTGGAAATTCAATAACTCTTTATTACAAGATAAAACTTTTATTAAACAGTTTACTAAATATTGGACTGAACTAATAGAGGGTTTTGACATGTATTTAGAACTTTGGGACCATTTAAAAGAACAAATTAAAAACTTTACTATTCACTATTGCAAGAAAAAATCTAATGTTAAGCGTAATGTTTTACGACAATTAGAAAAGTCTTATTATCAAATGCAATATTTTGAAAATAAAAATCCTGGTCAGTTTATAGATAGATTAAAGGAAATTAAAAGTCAAATTAAAGAGTTTCAGCTACAAAATTACACCGGCTCGAAAATTAGGTCAAAAGCTGAAAGTTTAGATAATGATGAAAAACCGTCCAAATTCTTTTTTCAACAGGAAATTAAAAGAGCCAAACAGAAAACTATTACAAAAATTACAGAGTCTTCCAATACTTATACAAATTCCGGCGATATTTTGGGTGTTTTTAAAAATTTCTATTCTAAATTATACACGGACGAAGGTATTGATCAGGATTTAGCTGACGATTTTTTACAAGGCGTGCCAAAATTACCTGATGATATTTCGGCCACCTGTGAAGGTCACATTACAAAAGAAGAAGTATTAATAGCACTCCGCGATATGGACAATAATAAGTCTCCCGGTGCAGACGGACTTACTAAAGAATTTTACTCTACGTTTATAAATATACTTATTGACCCATTATTAGAAGTTATGAATTGTACTTTTCAAGAAGGGCATTTATCAGATAGTCAGAAATTATCTTATATTACTTTACTTTGTAAAGATCAAGAACATTCTGAAAATGTTAAAAATTATAGACCTATTTCATTGTTGAATTACGATTATAAATTGATATCTAAAGTGATTACTAATAGAGTCAAGAGAGTATTGGAACATATTATTCATCCTGATCAGACCTGCGCCGTGCCAGGGCGCACCATTTTTGATAATTTACATTTAATGAGGAACATTATTGATTACTGTGAACAAAAACAAGCTCCGGTGGCTTTTATTTCTTTAGATCAAGAGAAGGCTTTTGATCGCGTCAATTATGACTTTTTATTTCAAGCACTTTCGGCTTATAATTTTGGGCCTTCTCTCATTCGATGGATTAAAACTTTATATACTGATGTATGTTCCTCTGTTATAGTTAATAATCATATTTCGGAACCTATTTTGTTACATAGGGGGGTGCGCCAGGGGTGCAGCCTGAGCCCATTATTATATGTTTTAGTTTTAGAGCCGTTCGCCATCAAAATTAGGGAAGACGAACAAATTTCAGGCATCAAGCTACCAGGATCTTCTAAAAGTAGTAAATTATCTCTTTACGCAGATGATAGTCTGGCTATTTGTACCTGTGACGCGTCCATAGAGCGAGTACTGTATTGGTGCTCGCTGTATGGACGCGCCTCAGGTGCAAAACTTAATTTACAAAAGACAAAAGGTATATGGTTAGGTAAATGGAAGAGTAGATCAGATCATCCGTTTGGCATATCTTGGGTCGAAAATTGTAAACTTTTAGGGGTTAAAATTGGGAATAATCTTACTTCTGATGATATTTGGCAACCGGTTTTAACAAAATTTATTAAAACTTTAAATTTATGGAAACAAAGATATTTGTCTTTTGTGTAGAAAAGTCTATTGTCGTAAAAGTCTTAGCTTGTTCTAAACTATGGTTTGTAGGCTCTGTATGTTTATTACCTGATCACTATTTAAAACAATTCGAAAAAGCAATTTTTAAATTTTTATGGCCTAGTACTACAGAACCTTTAAAAAGAACTGTTTGTTATAATTATAGGAAAAACGGGGGTTTAGAAATTGTGAATATTAGTTTAAAACTACAATCGTTAAGGCTAAAGCATTTACAAAATATTGTTTATAAGGACCCTTCCAAATACTCTATTTTATCTGTATATTGGGTCGGTTTAAGTTTGAGATATTTTGAACCCTCATTTGCAAACAATAATAGGCCACATTCAGAGTATATTCCAAAGTTTTATCAAGAATGTTTAAAGGATATGAACATTTTTATAAATATAGATGATAGTAAGTATAAAGATTCTTTTCTTTATTATAAATTTGATGGTAGTTTGACTACCAAACAATTTTACGGCGCTTTC